TTAATATTTTACGCAAGCCTACAATATATTAAACTATAATGTGTTTACCCACACTGGGTTGATAATTCCATATACTATTAGGAAAGATCTGATGTTAAGCTTTATAAAGCATATTTCTTCTGTTCAATGAACATTAGTGGCAGAGGTGATATATAGTCAGCTTGTTTCTGCAGTAGAATATTTTCCACCCAATTAAACACTATTTAAAAATAAAATGCAGGTCTCCTCTCTCTGAATTCTCACTATTTGCTCTGAAGATCTGATAATTAATTTGAAAAATCACTACATAAACCTACCAAATGAGGCTGCCATAGGTTACATACAACAATCTGTGAGATGTGATTTGCTGCAGGGGTCTTGCCAATGTCCGCTGATAGGATCAGGTCTCAGGTTCAGATTGTTAAATTAAACATATGCATTAATATATCTCCACCCCCCACACTGTTCAACAAAATCTTCTAACAAAGTGCAGAAACTAATGAATATAAGAGGTCAGCACAAGATATCAAGATGAGGCAGCAAGTTGAAAGTGGGAAACACATTATGAGAATTGAATACTTGAGCTTGGCCATGCACATGTCCCCAGCTCAGAGTGCCAGACATGATGCTGAGGATCTACATCGTATCTGGGGCTCACTATAACAAAACTGTGCAAGTAAGCATGATGCTGGCATGCACAGACTAGTCACCTGCAGAACACAAATGCAAATGCAGTGTCATATTAGCAAGTTGGAGGCCATCAAGCAACAGGAAGAAAAGCAGCTCGCCCCTGTGGGCTGTTTTCTATCCACTGTTCTCTGTGGCCCCTGTGGGCTGATTTCCATCCACTGTTCTCTGTGTGCAGCTTCCCTAGGTGGTTCTTTGTAAAAGACCTTTGATTATCCAGCCAAGAAGGAAGGTTCACCCAGTACCTTAGACCCAGATGAATCTCTGACTTTCCACATTTAACACAATTCTTCAACAGATTTTGTCCGTATCTCCTCCCACTACTAAACACCAAGACATCTCACAGTACCAGCTCCTACCACCAAACCACAGACTCACATAAATATACCTTGAATCATTGAAGCAACTCTAGAAAACTGCCTTATTTATCCTTTGTTGCTAAGTAGTACTGGCTGGCAATATTCGTGTCATGTTTTGTTCTTTACGTACATGTACATTTGAGAAAAGTAAAATTCACACTCAGTAACATGTACCAGTGTATAGATTTTGGGCTCACAACAAGTGAAAATACCTCCTACTGCATTTCTCAAGTATTATGTAACTTGACCACGTAAAAATAATTTTTCTTTGCATAAGTCCTTAATGGTTGTTCAGTAAGAGTACAAAGGGGTTTTAGTGACATTTGGCAATCCGACTGGAATTTTTCAGTAGGTCAGGAATGCATTTTTATAAATGAAATAATAAAGTACTTACATTTGTTCTCTGAACACTGGTGAACAAATAAATTTTTAAGAAGAGATTAAGTTCACACAAAGTGGAGCACCTGTGCAATGATAGTTGCCATGATGCACATCTGTTCTCTTCTAACACTTAAAAGTGTTAAAGAAAAAGAAGTAACCAAGTACTATGTGTAAGCATTCTGCAATAATTTAAAATCACTGAGTATCTCTGCACACAGAGCCAGTATCAATTTCTGGCTTTTTCAACAAAAATATTACTTATAGTATCCGACAATTAGGGTAGGTTAGTAGATTGCTCTTGTGGATTCAATTTGGGTTTTCCCATTTCAGTTCTGCTTAGTAGTGGAGTAGTGCAGGTCTCCATTATTTCCATCATCAGTGGTCTCTTACCTGTAATCCACAGGACCTTCGTCATCTGTATCTTCGTCAGTTTCTCCCGTTTCCTCTGTAGTGCAAAGTTCCTGCAGAAACACCTGCACTTTAGACATCAGATGTATTATAATAAAAACTTCATACATACAGGTGGCATCAGTAAATGTGGCAGCCTCTGACATGCAGTGGCATGCTAATATACATGCAATGTGATAAAAGCCACAAATGCCACCTCTGGAAGACCATAGAGGAGATAACACAAGGCACACAGCTTCAAAGTTGAGTCCTTTAAAACTGTACCATGAGTTTACTGTTCTTCCCATGGTGCACAGGGTCGCCTAAGGGGTGGCGTGGGGAGAAAGCCCTCCCTAAGGGGCTGGGAAGAGTGTTCAAAGGGACAGAACTCATATCTTTATACTTCAGGGCCAAGTTTGATCCTCATGACCACATGTCCTCCCATGCCCAACCCTCGAGCCACCAGGTGTGGCTCTGCCAGCCCTGAGCACAAATTTATCAGTCCTACATTGCTGAGAGACTCCCAGGGACCATAGCAGTCTGTCCTCAAAAAAAGCCCTCTCCTAGAAGATGTGTTCTCCAAAACGATAAAATAGAATATTCTAGAAATAGAAAAGCTAAGCTAACTTACAATCTTTGGGCCACAGGGAGACCAAGGTGATAATGGTGTCCTATTCAGGTCTTTTCAGGTCTTTCTCAAAGGAACAAGAAGACCTTAGGAGGTGATTCCCCAAAAGGGATGTCTACCTTCTAATGGCAGATGTGAGAGTTCCAAACCCAGAGAGCTGCAGGAAATGTAAGAATGTTTCGAGGAGATCAAGCACCTCCACTGGGGGGATTCCTACCAGTATCTTTCCTGTATCAAGCATTGAGAAATGGTCACATATCACAGTACTCACAGTACTCTAAAACTGAAAGGCATTCTTCACAGTCTCTGGAATGTGGTCAGTTAAGCCCAAATTTATACCAGAGAGGAAAAGTAAAGTCAGTCCTTGGCTGTCTCTGGATCTTTGTGATAAAGGCCATAATGACATTATTTAATGTCATCATTAAATTTAATGACATCATTTAATGACATTAAAATGATGATCACAATGGTGATGGCAGGTAGCAATTCTTCCGTGCTTACCACAGAGAAACCTCCATTTTGTTTACAACACACAATAACCCTGTGAAAGGTTATTCAATCACTGTGTTTAGAAAAAACAAGAGGCTAAAAGATGTCAGGGGCAAGATCCTGCAACTAGTGGGAACAGGATGAAGTCAGTTAATAGGAAGAGATTTAAACACAATCAGTGTACATATGGATGTGTAACCAGATGGTGGGAGAAGGTCTCCAGCCATCTTGGTAGGGAGAGAACTGTAACTCAATGGTCACGATCACGATCATCCTGTTGTTTGTCGATTTCCTCGAACAGGCACCAGTAAAGTCTCCTTCTTCCTAGCCCTGAGATTTTAAAAGAGCCATTTCAATGCTCTTTCAGGATTAAGAGAATGAGACCCATCATTGTTACTGGTATTTGGCATATTGAGTACGACACGGGAAGTTTGCAAGACTCTGCCGTGCGGGCAGGATAATTTTGGTAGCCTGCCAGGTTCTCCAAAGGAAAAATAATAAGATGTTGTGCGCCCGCAAATGCGGCCGTGCGCTTCCGGGACCTGGGTTTTATATATACTCAATGGTAGGGAAGGAATTTCAGCCTTGCTTTATGACAAGATGAACTCAGCTGTTAGGAAGAGGATTGAAACCCAGATGGAAGGGAAAGGGTTACAGCCCAGAGGCAGAGATGAGAAGCTTACCTCTAAGATGGTGGATGGGTCCTATATGCATGCAATGTCCTCAGAGTATTAACATGGCACAGAGAGAGCTCATGGTACAGAGCTCACATAGCCCTATCACACTGCCCTAGTTTTTCTCAAGTCTGTTAGTGTTACTTCCACTCACCAAAAAGACAGTCATCCTTGACTCATTTTGATCCCATCCCTCAGGAACTTCCCACACATGAATCAGGACTTTGGGTTCTGGGAGGGGCACGCCCAGAGGTGTTCAGGACTTAACTCTTGCCTTGGCGCTAAGGGATCACTCCTGGCAGGTTCAGGAGACCATACAGGGTGCTGGAGATTCAACCAGATTGGTCACATGCAAGGCAGGCACCCTACTCGCTGTACTATAGCTCCGGTCCAGCACTTTGTGTCCTATCTCAAAAGCTCTTGTCAAGTCTGTGCACTTGTCTCTCCACTCCTACAATCCTTCTCCTAACCCCACTGTCTCTTACATGGGCCATTTTGCTTCTATCCTGGTCCCCTTCTACCCCATTTCCCACCCAGCAATCAGACCTTGCAAAGAAACTCATGCCACCCTCCTGCCACCTGAGACACACCCAACCCAACCATGGCTTATAGAATTCCGCACAACCTGGCCACTGCCTGCCTCGCCTCTTGTACCTTGTCTGCTACAACTCTTCCCTCTCTGACCTGATTCTAGTCACATATGGGTCATTGTTTCCTGGAGCTTCCCAAGCTGTTTACTACTGCAGGATGGATCTTTAGCTGTTGATTCCTTGATCTTAATTTGTCTTCCTTTTCCAGTTGGGGTGGCACCTTATCATCATTTTGTAGGGGGTCTCTGCTCAAAGGACACATCAGCAGGAAAAAACCTACCCTAGGCCGATCCCTTAGCCTAGACTCTACCTATCCTCGAAAGATATTGCACAAGATGGCCTGCCACACAGTAGGTGTTCACTAAACCAGTTACTGAATGAATAAATTCAATGATACTTAATTGATCATATGAAGACTAATTTCACTTTTAGGAAGACTTTCTGGTGCTGTACCGAAAAGGTGAAAACTGTGTATGCATGATGTAGGGAGAGCTGCCTCCAAACTCCCCTTGTGGCAGAGGTCTTCCTTTATCCTCTAGTCCAAAGGCTCATTTCTCTCAGAATGCTTAGTATCAGGCCTGGACGCTTTTTCTACTCTATCCCATCTACTTTTAAACGAGTGTGCTGTGTCCCATCTCTACTCAGAGCTCACCCGAAAGGCAGGAGGTCATCTACCCCTGCCTCCTACTACAGATCTCAGCTATCAGGGGCTTTAAGTAATATGTCTGGTGGAGGGCAGGCAAAGGGCACATAGGCCTTCACAGGAAGGCCATGTTGCCATGATGCCCAAACATAACATACTCACCTGAAAGGTTTGACTCTTGATCACACACACAAGTCCCACAAGATAAAATCTCTCATCCACAGGTATAGGAATCTTGAAAGGTTGTCTTATGAAAAGTTGTGTGAAGAGGATCAAAGGTTCTGAAGGAAAGAGACATGCATGACAATGGAGAAAGAAGTGCCTTGGAAGTCATCACTGAGAAATGACAGCCAGGTGGGTTTGGTGTGATTTTGAGTCTTGTATTATTAATATACGGAAAGATGCTCGAGTCTCCAAAACAAATACATCTCCTCTCAGTTAGATAAACCTGTCATTAAATGTGTAATTTGTGTGAGTTTGTAGCCAAGTAAGAATTTTTAACAAAGGATCTTCCCTTTAGTTTCCAAGATACCTGGCAAATATATTAGACAACTTTCAGTGAGGGAATTTTCATTTCATAGCCAGATATTAATTTATTCTTGTTTTGGTACCACACCTATGGAGCGCAGGGATTACTCTTGGGTCTTTGCTCGGGGAACCATAAGTTGTGCTGGAGGTCAAACAGGGGTCGGCTGCATGTAAGACAGGTGCCTTAACCTCTGTACTAGCTCTATAGCCTAACAAACACTTATTATTTTGGTTTATTTGTAATCCTTTAGTGGCACTAAAGTTAGTATTATTTTTCTAGTTCATAGCATAATATGAACAGAGATGTGGTCCTGATTCTTGGCTTTATTTTCTTCTCTTGGCCCTTTTCCTACCCACAGGCATTCACCACCTCCTACCAGCTGTATTTTAGAACCTTTAAAATGTAGATGAATTTAAAATTTACGGAAGTAATCTGGTGCTAAATTTTCATCTTGTTTCTTAATCAGTCATATCAATTAGATGACTGATGTTCTCATGACCCCAAATTAATATTTGTCTTAAATTATCGACTTGGAACTAATGTAATATTAAAAATTTCTAATTCAGACTCCATATACACGTCACAGACTTGATTTTTGATTTCCTTTAAATGATACATTATTTCAATCCGAGATGTAAAACTCTAGATTGGACTAGATTTTACCCGTCATTCTAAGCCTCTAGGTTGTTTCCTCAAAGTGTGTTAGAACTCCAGGTCCCAACCAATAGAACTTATGTATTAACTGACACCCAAAGAGACTACTGTAAAATCAGTATCTACTTATGTTTGTGACTCTATACTTTATTCTGTGATTTTTAGCTTACATAGACTTCCTTTTAAAGTTTAAATTATTATATAATGCTTTAGGGGGGTCACAGCCAGTGGTGTTTAGGGCTTATTTATGGCTCTGCACTCAGAAATCACTCATAGCAGGCTCAGGGGACCATATAGGATGCCAGGAATTGAAGTCGAGTCAGGCATGTGCAAGGCAAGCACCCTATCCACTGTATTATCACTCCAGCCTTTATTTAAAATAAAAACCCTTTTACATAGATATTGTGATTTACTAAGTTGCTTACCTAGGGCTTTAGGCATACAGTGTTCCCTCCTCCAATCCCACCACCCATGATCCCATCCCTTGACTCTATGTTCCCTCCCACCACTCTCAACCCGACTGATGCCTGACAGATATATTTTGAAATTTAATTATTGTAACTGACATCCTTTTAACTTAAACCAAGCTACACATTAACTTTTATGTCTTAACAATCTTTACTTTCTTCATAGAAAGAGCCATTACTGTCAGTTCAGCACACCATGTTACCAGCTGTCCTCACCTTGAAATTTCATTATCAATATTTTTAAGTCTATTGAACATATGAAATCAAAAGCTGTGATGACAGGCAACTCAGAGACTATGACAGTATCAACAGAAAAATTATGTTAGCGAAAAGAGCTAACTACCCTAAAAACTTATCTAGATCATATCAAAAACAGAATTACTCACCCTCTGAGATATCTATTACGTTCAGGATGACTTTCGCATATTCATAAACTGGGTTGAAACCAAAATCAACATTTCCTCTTCTTAAGTGGCATCCAAATTTAATGTGTTTCCCCACTAAAAGATCAGATACAAACCAGGTTTTCATCAACTGCACTTGGCTATTTTCTGCAGAATTATTTCATACGCCTATTGTCTTAGTCTGGGTTTTACAAAATCATTACCTTTATTCCATGATCATCATTAGCACCTTTCATGAATATCAATGCTATACCTGTAGAGTAGCGTGCCAGGTAGGACATTACTCATGCAACACTAATGCGATTATATAAAAGTTGAAGTAATCTGGGTTCCTGATTCAAAATAAGATTTAATGGACTAGAGGTCTGTGAACAATAGAAGTATATTTGCGAAATTAATAATATTAAAGCAAGCTAATATAGGATCAATAGATCCCTTAGCCCAAAAGCTTTTTATTAACCCTCTAAGTAATTACCACCTGTCTCTTCAAATATAATAACTTACTCTTTGAAAGAACAATCTGTACCTGAACTTGAAAAAGGAATCTTGAGCGCAACCTTTTGATAAACTCTGCTTTTCTCTGACTCGGGCAGCAGGCTTAGCAGTGTTTTACCTATGATTTCTTCCTAGAGGTGGAGAGAGAATAAATTTTGTAACATGCTATGACTGTTCAGTTCCTCCAGCTCCTTACCACCAGTATGCTTATCATTTGCCTCACCTCATACATCTTATGGTTGCACCAGATGGACCTCTAAAATAAATTACATGATGAACTCTTATGATCAAGGGCTTGCTCACTTTCTTAGGCCTTTAAGCCTCTTTCCCACCTCTCCAACCAGTAATTCACACCCACAAAGACCTCTCCTCTGTCCCTGACACATTTCCCTATCTCCTCTAAGCTGTAACATCCTCGTGCCCAGCTCAGATTACAGGGTTCATCATTTGCATCAGTCCCACGTTCTCTTTCTGACATATTTGTCTACAAAAAAACCCAACACTGGTGTGGTATTGTGACTTATAAGCAATCAATTTATTTCCCTTATATTTAACACGAGAAATACATATTTCCCAATCTCTTTCCCCATCTATTGTGTCTTCAGTCACAGCTCCTGCCTCATAGCTCCCCAAACTCGGGATTTCCTAAACAGTAGGTTACTGAGTAATGGAAGCACCTTTTGCTATATTCGGCTTCTGCTTCTCCATTTCTGAAGCTGCTGCTGCAGAGCCATAAAGTGAAATGTATACCTCGTTCTTCAGAACCAGCCTCTCCATCCCATTCACGAGCGCTCCAGGAGGCAGTATGACAGAAGCTCCATTTGGGTCCTCACCCTACCTATCTCTTCTATCTGGATGCTTTTGTTATGTGCTATGATTATATGCTGTATAGCCTTTAATATCACTTGTGATAAATGGGTAATAGAGTAAATGTACTCCCACACATGTGGAACTGGGCCCAGGACTCCATTTATCTTTTAAATTCTAAGTCTTCATCTACCTACACCTTTATCCAAGTAACTGAAAATGCAATTAAAAAAATCACAAACATGGGGCTGGAGGTGATAGCACATTGGGTAGGGCGTTTGCCTTGCACGAGGCTGACCCGGGTTCGATTTCCAGCATCCCATATCCCCTGAGTACCGCCAGGAGTAATTTCTGAGTACATGAACCAGGAATAGCCCCTGTGCAATACCAGGTGTGACCCAAAAGGCAAAAAAAATCATAAACATGCTGTGTATTATTTGAAATAGTCGTTCATCTCTGCTAGGGAATTATTCCACATTTTCTGACAACATACTCTGCTACTCTTACAGTGACTACTGCTTTTCGATCTCTAGACCCCACCCCTCATATTCATCTGAGGACCTTCTTATTTCACTGAAATCTTCTTTTCAGGAAGAAGCAAACACCACACTGCCTCCATGCTACCCACCTGCTTTCCCTTCCATTCTGAAGAATGAGCTGCTATACCCAAGTCTGGTGAGGGGGTGTCTTATCCCGCCACTCACCAAGGTCTATCCCTCCCAGATTCCACCCTTACCCCCCCCCAACTCTCAAGCTTTCCCTCTCTGCTAGGTCTTTCCCAAAAGCACACAAATGTTACAGAGATACTGTGCAGATGGTATAGTACCTTAAAATTAAGAAAACGAAAACTCCCAAAACCTTCTGTGACATATTATTCCAAACAAAAACCTGAGTTAGGTGTTTGTTTCTATATAGTATTCATCTAGAGGGAAACACTCTTTCCAGGATCTTTGCCATTGCTTCTTCCCTGACTTCGTATGAGTCTCTACTGGAATTTATAATCTATTTCAAATACCACCAACTCTCTCATATTATTTCCTCCCTTCTTTAGGCATACTCATCACTATGTCCTCACACAATGGGCATACGCAGATATTTACCTTTTTATTTACCTGCCTCCCCCAGTGAAATATAAATTACGCTAGATTAGAAGCCTTTTTTAGCTGTCTTCTTCAGTGCACATCCTCCGCACCTAGAACATAGCTTGGCACAAGTGAATTCTTGATAAATATTAGTCGAATGAGTAAATGACGTTGTACCATGCGTGCAGTTAAAATACGGTGACATGTGAGTAAACTGAATATCAAGCATTAAGTAAAGTAATGAGTTTTTAATGTGCTAGGAACAAAGTAATAAACAAAGTACTCTTTGTAGTTGAATAATGGTTTTTGGGTGATGAACCACAAACTTAAATGATTCCGAACTAATTAATATTAATAATATGCATTCAATGTTCAGAAATACATTTTTATGGTCCATAGGAGCCAGCCTATGAGTAAGTCAATGCTCAAATTAGCAGATGCATTCTGTTTCAAACAAGAAAGGTATGGCTTAATTCAGGGTAGAAATATTACCTTAATTCAGCAAATGAAATATTATGAAATTAACAGGAAATGAGTATTGGTAGTGAAAGTCACACACAGTAAGAAACTGACTTCCCTAAAGAAATAGAATTTTATTAGATATAACTTTTTCAGTGGATATGCTTTAGTTATGGGACTGCAGCCATAGTACAGCGTGTAGGGTGCTCGCGTTAGATCCCCAGCATCACATATGATCTCCTGAGTCCACCAGGGGTGATTCATGAGTGCAGAGACAGGAGTAACCACTTAGCACTGCCAGGTGTGATCCAAAAAACTAAAAAAATGCTTTAGTTGTTTTAGTTTTAAATAAACTTCAGGCACTTCACCAAATGATCACTGCAACAGAGTTCAGTGACTCAATCACCTAACACAGGGGCGGGGAACAATCATTCCACAGGCTCGACAGAAATATATGCTCCTCAGAGGCTGCTCACAGCTTGTCTGCCTGTGTCGTATGGCATATGAATTACGTTACAAACTTTCAGTGGCTCTTGGTGGAAAAATTTTCCTACTTCTGAGGTTTAACAAAGATTCCATAGTAGGCACAGTGCTAGGCACATTTCAAGAAACTCTATGAAATGTCTCCAATTTTATTCACAAGGAAATTAAGGCTAGTCTAATCATTGAAAGGTCATAACTTTTGAAATGACATTCACATGTCCAGCCCTACCCAACTTCATGTTCACTGTTTCTTCTGTTTCTTCAACTATACCCAGGGCTGTAGTGATAGTCCAGAAGGGAAGGCATTTGCCTTATACGCGGCTGACCTGGGTTCGATCACTGGCATCCCATATGGGTCCCCCAAGCACGGACAGGAGTAATTCCTGAGTGCAGAGCCAGGAACAACGCCTGAGCATTGTTGGGTGTGACCCAAAGAGAAAAAAATTAAAAAATTAAAATCTTCAACAATACCCTAGCTACCTTGAGCTAGTCTACACCAGAAGCAATTGCACTGCCACTGGCACATTTCTCTATTCTGTACATCTCCTTAAACTTATTCATTCATTTTTTACTGAGCACGATGAGGGTCAAAAATGATGAGCCTGACATGAATTCTAACTGTAGTGACTGTATGTTTCAGAAGTGGGCATAAGACAAGGAAACAAAAGATTATCATGGCGTAAATTACTACCTTAATTCCACAGAGCAAATAGTGAAATGGATCAGCAACCCGTTCATTAGTAGAAAAATGAAAAAGAGCAATACAACTTAAAAGAATTCAAAGTCAGCTTTCTTTTGGTAGTCCATATTTCCTTGGACAGAAATAACGACAGTGAGCTGCTTCTTAATAAGTTACATTATTTAAGAAAAGTAACAGTGACATGAACATCACATAATTGGCTATCAACTATAAGTGGCCATAATGGTCATTCCAGTGACTCCATTTCTTAGATAAAAGGCAGAGGTTCAAAAGCACTATCAACACCATATTATTTATTTAAAATCTTTGTCATATGCTCTTCTTATACTAGACAGAAAGATCGAGTTACTTAGAGCTTAATGATGCAGGAATAAATATCAGTGAAAAATTAAGGAGAATTTTTTAAAATCCAATTTTGCAAATATTTATTGTTCCACAAATGTTAGTCATTCTCAGTAGAATAAGAATAAAGAAACATTCCAATCCATAATATTTACTGAGAATCCAGGCAAAAAGCATCTTTCTGCCAGCAGAGACATGCATATTAAACATGCTCTAAGAAATTTGAACTGTCTGGAGTACCATCAACAAAAGTGGTCTCCACACAAGATTAAGATTACCTCCTAAATCAAATGAAACTCATCATTAGGAATTTTCTCCTGTGATGAAAGCGCCATATCTCTGGAGAAGGCAATCTCCTCCTCAGCATCTCCAAAGACTATGCCTTTATTTGCTCAGCATTCTGCTCCCAATGGCCTCTTTCCTGCACCTTCTTGAAACGTAGAACATATTTGTTTAATGCCTTCCTTCTGTGCTCCTCCTTCTTCCCAGAACACACTGGTTCCAGTACTTTGCATGACTCACCGATAAACTCCATTTAGACCTCTGTTGAAACGTCACCTGATCAGAGAGGCCTCACTCTAAACACCATTTTGACGCCTTGTTTCTGCTTACTCTCAATGAATTAGTCCTTATCCATTTACGGAGTACAGAAGAAAGCTCTATAGTTTGTGAGGGACTGAGTTAAATTTCTTCGTGGAATCATTTGATTCTAGAGACCAAGTTCTTTCCACTCCACCAGGCCATATTTCATTGAATTGTGCATTCCTGGGGTCAGTAAAGATACTCTAAAAATAGTTTAATCTCCATATTAATATGAGATAGATGACTTATCAATTGTCTTTTTTAAACTCAAATCCTGGAAAATAGATGGCATGTTGGTTAGTATGTAAAGAGTTAAGATTTAACGAGGAAATTGTGAAGCTGTATTTCAGGTGTCATCCTTTTCACGCTGATTTATTACAGATCTAGAACTTCATTCTCCTGTTAGTTTATATACAGAAGCAGTAGGCAGTACACCAATCTGAAAGCATCAAGTTCATGGTTTAATGTTAGTTGTTTCAAATAACTCATGTCTCAGACACACCTACGTTTGGGTGACTGTGTGTATAGATGACACATCAAATGTTAAAGGATGGCAGTTTCCTCGGAGTGAAAACAAACAAAATACATAAGGGAACAAAGATAAAGAATTTGCATAGAACTGTGAAAAATCCTAATGTCACAGGAATAAAGCCATGTATCTCAAAGACCAGTATGA